GCGCTCTGAATGGGGATTAACCACGTGTGATGTCATCTGATGATTTGGCGAAAAACCAGGCCCAAAAACATCACCCCCGCCCCCTTATATAATCAGATGGATTAATTTTTGTAGATCAAACCAGGATGCGTCATTCATCAGTGCCGGCGGTTCAGGATTGGGCCTGTATAACCTCTGACCACGGGTCTGAAGTCCGAGGCATTCGGTGTTGTCCTCCGAATCCCCCGTGTTAGTGGGTCTCTTGTTCATGGAGTTAAATCTGGGCTCTCCAAGGAAACGTCAGGAAGTTTCCGTCGATCAAGACTGACTCCTAGACTTCGCACGGTAGTCGTGCGACCGCGACATCGAACCAAGTTCACCACAATTCTCTTGGATACTGGAGTGCCATGACGGATTGACTCACTATGCGCTATGGCCTGGTTCCGCACAGATCGCGAATTGTGCCTTTTTTTATTACCCTACACAAATCCCGCTGGACGATCCACAACTTAACCTCTGCCAAATGTGACCTCACATCCACCAAACTGCACGGTGTTCCTGCGTAGGTTGCTCCCTTGGGGGAACTAGCGAGCGAGCGAGCGAGCGAGTGAGTGAGGGAGGCTTGGTTGGATTGGCGTGCATTAAGTCAGAAGGGGGCAGCTACCCATCTGTCAGATCAATCGGCACGTGTGTGTCCCCCGTCATGAATATGGGGTAAGGGATGTGGGGGTGAACTACTGCGCACTTTCGACGAAATGTCTGTTTCTCGGTTGATTCTATCTGGGGAGTATTAAACAAATAGGCAACTCGAGAAGTCACATCGAAGTAGGCGCTGAAGGGCATTTTCGATGGTGTTTTCCAAGTGATGTTATTGGGTTAAGGGGCAGTGGGTGGGATAACTAGAACCAGACGAAAGGCAACTTAAGCACTCATGTCACCAGTACCCCTACCTAGATCTCCCAGTAATGAAACCTGTCCGAGTGATCTCATCGTCACCAGGAGAACTGACCTGCCATTCCAACCATTACTTAAATGTCTCTGTTGAAATCCTAGCAACTAGCGTTGACGTAATCACGTTTATATTGCGTTCGGACAAACACACACACATACACACAAACGCGATCACAATTGGTGTGGGCATGCAGCACCGACGGCATGGGGAATTTGCCACATTCATTTCGAGTAAGTATGCTGGCCAGTTTTGACCATCGCGGTGTAGGATGTGTCCATATGGCGTTTAGCCGAGGTGAACTACAGTCTGTATACCATGAAAGCAATCGCATAAAGCAGCGTCAGTCATACATGCTTCCTCGTCCGAGCTGCTAGTGTTCGTGATTTACATTCCGGAGGTCTGCCTCTCCAAGTCTACGTGAACTACTTACACGGGTGCCTTCCAGACTGGAGAGAACTACCCAGCAGGGTCATTTCCGCTTAATCGAGAAAGCAGTCTAGTAGAGTTCAGGGTCCTCCTTCCCCTCCTTCTCCTCCTCCTCCTCTTCTTCTTCTTCTTCATCCTCCTCTTCCTCCCAAGTAGCCACACAAACGCCAGAAAATAAGGTTGCGTGAGTGGTGGTGGAACATCTGCTTCGCTAGCGAAAAGAACAGCTGTTTTCCAGCCTGGTGGTCATAATTTAAAATGAAGAGGAAGCACGCAATCAATTTTGTCGCAAGTAACACCTCGTCCCAAGCTCAACTTCATTAATTTTAATTTTAAAAATACTAATTTTCACCATTTTTTGCCCTATTCAGCGGTTTGGAACATGAAGATAGTTCCAGTGCTTGCGGTTACCGCTGGCCCTCGGAGTTGGAGGTCAGGGACAGCGGTGTGAAAGCTGTTGGGGTGTTGCGTAATGAGGACGTGGCGCTACAAGAGGTATTTTCCAGTCGGGTAAACAGAACCCCGAAAAGAGACACGTATCTGCGCCACTGCGAAACATCACATCATTCCCAACAAGCACCAAATGCAGCTATCTCGTGATTATTAGGTCTTTTTTCTGAAACAATGTTTTCATTAGATTAAATTGTGGGCATTCACAGGACCACATTGTCGTACTGCCAGCACCTGCTTATCAATCTCTCGCAAGTTGTATTTTGTGCCACTCTCCGCTAATGCAATGTGAGTATCTGTTAGATAGATGTCTAAAATTTTGGCCGGAGGAATTACCAAGACCCCAAGGACTAATAGTATGGACGGAAAGTTCGAATTAAATACCAACATCCTCACTTATAAGAGTACGTGATTCAGCAGTCGATGAAGGTCGTGAAACACCACATGGAGCTCCCATTTGACGAGGCAGTGAAAACAGCACAATGCGAGCTTGTTTTCGAATCTTAAGCTATATTTTTTCAGTGTCACGATAATTCATACTTTCTAAAAAACCACACCTAGTTGTACGCTTCCCCTGGACTCACCCATGGTTGTCCTTCAGAGGAACCAAGTGTGGTGGCGTGGAGCAGTACAGCACATTTGCAACTTCACTTTGTGGCCTGCCACTGGGAACAAGCCATGCTTCACATATGACATTGTGTGTGTGTGTGTAGACGTATGGGGGTGTCACGTAGGTGCAGTGCATATGACAATTATGCGCGACACTTTGTAGTGTTGGGAACACGAAATGATCTCAATCGCTTTAATTGCGTCAAGTCTTGACGCTAACGTGGCCTACTGTTTCAACGCCCGGACCCCTTTCCTACCCACCCTTCAGAGAACGAGGGCGGTTGACTTCCGGCCTTATGGATGTTGTGCCACTCACGTCCTTCAACTCACATGATCATTTCAGTCACATGATTGGGGAGACCTGAGCCACAAACACTGTAAATGCCTCTACGAATACGTGAAGCATAGAAAACCAAATAAAGTGAACCCAATTATCGAGCTATGGTTTTTGGTTCAATGGGCTACATCGTCAGTTAATGGAATCGCAGTCACCGCTTTCGCAAAACACAAAGCGATCGCTGTTCCGAGGATGTTACTTGTGTACAGATTAATTACAATATGTCAAGAAGAGTCATTTCGTGACACATTTAGAGCAGTGTATTTTGTTCCGAAACCCTACTAAATGTTATATTTATGATCGACTCCGGGGAGAGCAGTACGGACGACGTCATTGGTACCTTGGCAACATTTACCTGGAGACCAATCAGCAAGTCGTACTCAAGACGGAGGCAGAGGGGCAAAGCTGAAAAATATCAATACTTGAACCGTGGATGAGTTTGCTTCACACCATTTGGGAATACGTTAAAAGTGCGTATGGCCTTCCAAGTAGTCATCATGCGATGGTATCCAAGGTGATGCTGCCCCTCACGCAAACATGGCGTTGAAAGACCAGAAAGATGTTCAAACACATCGGTTTTATTACCATAACGGGGGGAGTGAAAGGTATTCATTTGCTAGCGCTTCCTCGCATTCCAGGAGCCATCAAAAGACGAGTTGCCAAGCCGAGGCTCTGGGTGCACAAAAAATTCGAGGCAGACGGGTTAGTCAAGAACTGATGGTTGCTAATTTGTTCTCCCCTTGAAAACGCCTTTTTTCGAGGGAAGTCGTGTGTTTTGCCTGGGCATTAAGAAAACTGAAGCTGCAAACAGACCACGAAAACACCTGCAGTGTGCGTCGTCCCTTCACGATAACGCAAAGGTTTAGTATCTAGGACAACCTGGGCAACTTTGAGGGAAATTAAATGGAATTGCGTATAACATTCTTTATTGCACAAGGGCCAATGAAAACACAACCCTTACTTCCATCCTGTTTTTTTATATGCTGATAATATAGACTCACACATGTACATTTGGACTGAGGCATTAATAAAAGGACCAAGATTTCTGAAACAAATCGATATCGAAAAGGTACATTGGTTCGTGTTTCTGACACGTTTACTTATCCGAGGGACTAACTTGGCTTTGACACAACTGTAGCTATTGAAATCGATCTGCTATTCTACACCGGTTTAATAAATCTTGACCTGGTGTACATTTATTCGCTTCCTAAGCTCGCCTTCTTCAAGTTCATTGCGTCATGGGAAGGTCTCCACTGAAGCCAAACTCTTCCAAAAATTTCGCATCACGTCATGCTGCTTAACTCAAATTCGATTCTTAAGGTAATCTCCCTAGTTCAAGCTTACAGTCGCATTAATCGAAGTTCCTGGATCGAAGCGTTCACGTGCGCCATTCCAGTTGAACTCGGAACGCCCTCTAGTAGCTATAGCGTCCATTTCCACAGACTCTGTGAGCAGAAGCGATTTCCAAAGTCCTAATTTGCGTCTTTATTAGATTATTTATACCTGATTTAACTACAGTCTTATAGTTTGCTAACCTACAGAGTTCACACTTTTGTTTCAAAACCGCACACTCACTTGTGCGCTTGTGGTCAGTCAGTTTGATATGCATGGCATGACATTACCTTTACACGTGGATGTCATTTTCAATTCAGACAGGCTCAGCATGAGATGTTTCGACATGGTGATGCCAAAACTGAGTCCAAGTAGGAAGTGAACGGTTCTATCAGACTCGAATATGATTTTTCTCAAAGACGATTAAATGCAATGCACGAGGGCGGCGAATTGCAGTCCTTAATTTTTCAGGCAATAAAGATAAGGACTTTCAGAATCAGAGATACTTTTTGCCCTGAGTTTTATGCTCACATTAGACGAACTTGCTTACGCATCAACGGGTTCTAGGCGTTTTAATTTGGAATCCAACCGGGAGTTGAAAGATCAGAAGCTTTGTTACTTTGAGGAAATGCGTGCCTTACTACCTTCATAAACAAAGTGTAATTGGTTGTCGTGAATACCAAAGAGGTAATAAAATCGTGAATGAACAGCAAACGCTAGTGTGTAGGGGTTTGCGTGTCGTAAACAACCACAAACGAAACCATCTGCCAGCTGTCTCATCAGCCGTGATAATCGTGCTCTACGGTTGGTTCAAACAGCCATCAGAGTATTGATTTACGTCGCGGTGGCGCCAACGATGATTTAAGGGCTCTTTCATGGGAACCCCTTGAGGACCCCACCAAAACCCCCTTCCTTTTGAATGATGTATTACATAGGTAGTGGTTAACAAAGGCGCGGACACGCCCTGGAATCCCACTGGCGCCCATGAAGAGTGTCTTGCCATTGGTGGCGCCTACCAGCGATCGTAGGCAGGATTTCAGTCTCTGTGCGCTGTAGCCAGGTAGGCAGCTTAATCCATACACAACCATGTTCCTGGTGTTCACGCTGTTGACGATTATAAATGCTGTGTTGGCACTGGTGATGGTGAGGTTTTTAATCCTCATTATTATTAACGTGTGACTGTGAAGACACGATTACGTGCAAATAAACGGGCTGTGGGCAGGTGGGACTTTCGAAAGACGGTTCTAGACCCCCGCCCAGTCCATTTTGCAGCCTTCAGTCTGGGCTCATCGACTGGTGTGGGTGAGTATACTACGACGCAAGATTTAGGGGGTGTGACCCGCTGTGAGTGGCATGTTCAATTCCAAACTGGTAGTCAAGAGAAACTTCGAAGCCTACACCGACCACCAACATCCCCCTCCAATCATTGTTTGTTCGAAAAGGTTTCGTTAAAATGACTTTTTGGCTCCGTCAAGTACGGCCTAAGTTAGACAGTTATGGTGGTTACTAAGTCGACAAAACATCAACAGGATAAATGTTTAGGATGGCCGGGCACTAAAGCGTGCTTTCGCTTTATGGCGGCAGCCAAGTTTTATTTGCATCCCAACTGAAAGCCCGTGCAGGCGAGCGGGCACTGGTCATTTGATTCACCAAAACGTGACTTTCCCTAGTTACCGACGCCATCCAAACGGGATTTAAAAAAAACGAGTGTTCAGAGTGACGAGGTGTTGATTACGGGTGTGTGCAAAATCCCTCTTCGTGGATGTTGTTCGTTTTATTGGTCGTTGTAAGACATCAGCCGGGACTCTGAATGACCTGGGTTTTTCGAAGGAGTGAGCGAATCCTTCAAAGACCTTGATGGGTGTTCTTTAAGCAGTCATTTGCCCAGAAACCAGATTTTTACATGCTTTAGGCGTCCAAATCCGGTATTGTTCAATTAGATGAGTGGATCGGAAGCTAGCAAACAGCCCGCGGGTTAAATCCGAGAGTAAAAATTCGAATCAGAGCAATCAGACGGTTTAATACCTGCTCTTACTACTAGACTTATCCGTCCTGGTAATATTTCTTCATGTCATTTCCTTCGATTCTGTTTCAGATAAGCGAGCATACCAACGAATGAGATGCGAAACACAGAACTCGGGGTTATTTGAAGTTAGCTAACGGCGAGCGGTCCTTAATTGACTTCTAAACGCACTGTCTTTAAATCGGAGTGGTACGTCATTCACCTGGACGTGGTTTCACTGTGGAATGGAACTGCTCTATACCTAACTACGGACTTAGCCACAACAACACATTAAGAATTCAAGGGAAGCGTGAAGGCACTCTGCTGTATGTTCGCTTGAAATCTCCAAACTGAAATATCCTCATTTTCTAGAGTTTTATGTGAACAAAATTGCATTACAAAAATAGAATGAGATTTTTTATCAATTGAGGGGCCAGTCACGATCAACTTTGCATAAAAGGCACTGCTTGAAGGAATCTGTCATTTCACGGTTTGAAAAGCGACTAGACTTTTCGTGCTAGAATTAGCCCGGAAAACACGCCTATCAGGTAGGTGTGGGGAGGGGAGAGGTAAAGGCCCAATTATCACAACACCGAAGGTGTTACAGCTTCAGGTGGGGGAGAGGAGGGGGTGAAGAAGACACAGTTAGCAACCGAGGCAATTTGACCTCTTTAAATGCCACATCACATCAGTCACTGTTTCCATTCCAGCCGGGTGTTCAGACAGGATTGGTTTTACCATCCCAAGTGCCTATCCTTCAGTCAATCCTTCCCCCTCCCCCCTCCTCCTCCTCCATTTCCTTCCCATGGTTCTTTCAATCAGTTTACTCAGAAGTAGCTGTCTTTCTGATATAATGTGACAAACACATCAATAATATCACTAATCAAATTGTAGGATGACATCCATTCATGCAAGGCCCATTTCCGTTTGATCGACGAAATATACGACAATCATATTTGGATTCGTTGAAGCTTTCGAGGCCTTCAAGCTCCTCGGATGGGCACCTGTTCGAGACTCTTGATCTGCTTCATTGAAGCCGATTTCCACATCTATTTGTGCTTTGCTAGCCTGACCAACCAACAAATTGAAGTAATTCAATGCGAGCTTTGATACCTTAGAACAAACCCGATGAGAAAACTATGGATACACAGTGTTTGGGTTCGTTAGTAATCCAACACGACAATCTCGACATTCTGTCCAATTGCTACCGGTGGTATAGCTCTGCGAAATTGACCCGACTGCTGGGCAAATGAGGCGGATCTACACGGTGTCTAAGGCGAGACAGGGGCATTCAAATCTGACAGTGTTGCTATCAATGGAGAAGCGACTGTCCATGCCGGTACAGGTACGTTTTTACCGTCCAGAATATCCTAAATGAGTCATTGTCGGACAATGCCAAACGACGAGTAGATCGACCTCGTATCCAGAAGGGTTGTGTGTTTGTCTTCATGAAGTTAATGTATAATGTAAAAAAACGCAGACTGGAAATTTATGACTCGAGGGCCTTGTGGGGGTGGGGCGCATAGATACTTCATCTGGCATTGGTTCGAATGAGTCTAGAAGCTGCTTGAATACTGGTGTACTTTTATTCGATTTTATGCAGACTTAAGGTAGCTCTGATGGCAGAGCTGTGTACTCTCCCACCTGAAGAGCCCAGGTGTTGTTGAGTGTGTAAGTTGTCAACATTGAAACTGTGTAGCCTAGTGAACTTCCATGGACTTATTTTAAGTGATGAAGACCATGAAATCAGCAGGTTCAGATGGAGCGGTGTTGTGTGAAGAGCATCCAACACCTTATGAAATGATGGAGAAATCCCTTAGGCATGTAAGGTTCTCATTTTTGTTTGTTTACTAACTCAACTTGCGCACTGCATCCACCCTGTCTTAGAACCACCGAGGACTTATCTCCTGACTTGAAGTCTACAATCGGACGTCTCTTCAAGTACATCTCACCGTCTTGTGATCCGAGTACTGATCAGAACGCGTGACATGCCTTACTGTATTTCGAAGTGTGTCACCAACTCACATCTATTTAACGAGTACTCGACTTCTTAATTGATTGGCCATCTCGTTCTAGCAGATCCAAAAGGTAGCTCGTGGTAAGTGCATTTAATGGCCCCTAGCCTTACGACAATAAGTGGTCCAGAAGACAGGTTTGACGTCCAGCCAAGAGGTCACCGATGGATAGCAGAAAGAAGCGTTAATTTAAGTGCATACCACTGAAGCAATAGCACAATCACGAGGTTTGTCACTGCCAATACAATAACGCACGCATTAGGTAAGACACAGCTAACATATTACGTCATGAAATCCTTGATTGTGAAAAAATCCCACAATTATCAAACGGGACTGTACCTCAACCAGACTAACAAAGGTAAGTTAGTAAAGATTCACATAGAAAGTCAAATTGACACTTTTACTTGATTTCATGTCTTTCTATGCTTGCTAAACAGACAATTTAGAGGTCAGAAAATTTAGTCGAAATGTCACACGAGCATAGACTTGACAAGATATGCCAGATATTGTGGAAAATGCAGGATAACCTTGAGAAATTCGATGACTTGCGACGTTGGAGTTTGGATTATGAAGGTGATGCTGGGTTATCTCAACCAGCCTCCGCGTTGATTAATAATCATGATGGTGGGAATTAGTAACCGCGATTAGATCATTCTACGCCCTCGCATTGTTTTACTGGTTTAGTGCGTTCCCTCGGTGACTATTTGATTACCAATCGCACAGTGAACGGTATTTCGAACTAGCTCGCATGGGATGCACATTGCACTTTGTAACTTAGCTAATGTTGTGTGTGCGTCATCAATTGATGTTTATCGCAATTAAGAACAAACATTTAATCTCACATCTTAATTGCAGAGTGGGCCGAGCTGCGTCTTTTTAGCTTCGACGTATTTGACTTTGCTGGCCTTGATCAGATGAAGGAATTGTAGGCTAAGTAGACAGGTGCTGTTTACAAAGTTGTCTACTCCGATCAGTTAAACAGATGAGTCTGATCGGTCTAATTATCCACCAAATGTCAATTTGACTCAAAAAGTGAGCGACCAGAGTTAGAAATTGTAAGAACACACCTTCTGGAAATAAAAAAG